CCGTCAAAGATAACCAGGTAAACGAAATTGAAATGAATCTGAAAGTTAATAGACCACTTAGAAATAAAATATAGTTTCTAGACTAAAATGAAATCAAGGTGATAGTTAATAGACTAAAAATTGAATTAAGCCCTTACCGTTTGAATAGCTTAGAAGGAACACCCCCCCTTTTTTTTTCTTTTTTTTTTTTCTATTTTAATATTAAATTACACAACAGATAACCCTTTCCCACATTTGACATTTCTACGTTTCTTTCTTCCTGTTCAAAAGTAAATAAGTACAAGCACTTGGTCTAGTGACCCAATGGCTTTAACTCTAGTTGAAAAGTGCATCCCAACCCTTAGACTGGGCTTCGAATCCCCACCCCCACAATGTACACCGATCCAAAAAAAAAAAAGAAAAGTAAATAAGTACAAAATTGATTCCAAGGCTTCGACTAATGGGTCAATCCATATTCTTCCGCCCCTCACCCCTAGGGGTGGGCAAAAACCGGTTTCGGTTTTAACCGAAACCGATTTTGAATTAACCGAAAAAATTCGGTTTTAATTTTACAAACCAAAACCGAACCGAAATTGTTATAAGATAATCAGTTCGGTTACCGAATTTTATCAATGAATTCGGTTCGGTTTTGGTTTTTATTAAATAAGATAACACAATTTAAAATTAAAATTAAAATTTATTTTAAAAATAAGAGACCAATATAGTCTTTTTTTTTCTTTTATTTTTTATAAGAGTAATGATTAGAGATTAATATGTAAGAGGTATTAATAAAAAATATTAAATTCAAAACATGAGAGTGTAAATCATAAACTACCTTTTGAAATAACAAGTGCCCCTGAGTCACGACACATGAAATGCAATATAATCTTATATATATATATAATCCTATCCTGTTGGCTCTTACCGTTTGAATAGCTTAGAAGGAACCCCTTTTTTTTTTTTGTATTTTAATATTAAATTACACAACAGATAACCCTTTCCCACATTTTTACTTTTCTTTCTTCTTGTTCAAAAATAAATAAGACCAAATGACTTGCTGACTTTAATTTAGGATTTCTTATTTTTAATAAAAAAAATAACAATTGAATTATTTAAATTATTAGTTACAATCTCCATACCTTAATCCTCAATTATATAGTAAAAAAAAAGAAAAAAAAAAGGGTGAATAAGTCCATATGTATTAATATTTAATAAGCCTAAATTTAATATCTTAATCCTCAATTATATCGGCCAATTCATTTTCCTTCATCTTCTTTTTATTCTTAGACTGGGAACAGTGGGGAAACTCGGTCAAGTGCCTCAGTAAATGAGACAGAGAAACTGAGTAATTCTTGGAAAACCCTTGATAAGCCTGCTTGCAGATTTTTCAGTGCCACTACTCTTGTTACCTCGACTGCCTTGTCTTCAACTGCCTTGGCAAGCTTCAGAATTTCGTCTTCCATCCGCTTTTGGCAGGCTGCAAGCTCTGATTTCTTATCTGCAAGAGGATCCTGAGCATCTAAAACCTGTCCATTATCACACCCAGTTTCAGGAACGCTGGTACTTCCCACAGGGTATGAGTTGTATAATTTCCTTTCTATGCTCCGAAGGGATGAAGCCTTCTTCTCAAGCCCCTTTGATACAGTTTCAGTTCGCTTTTTAATCTTCATGAGCCCCCTGGTTTGCTGAACGGATATCTCATGGACAACATTGATAAAGCTCTTGATCGCTTCTGAAGCAACTGTATCAGGAACTCGGTCAAGAGCAAGCTTCCACTCCCACTCGTCACAAAAGGCAATTACAGTAGAGGGTTCCTTGCTGTCATCAACATTGTTGGTGCTTACAGGGACAAGGGTGAGCTTGAACCAGCCATGGAGGGAATGAATAAAGTCCCTTTGAAACATTATCAAGCAGCAGAAACTAGAGTGCCAGGCAGAGACAGCAGACTCCAGTTCACGGGTTGCCTGCCTATGCAGTTCAGAAGTATAGTCACCATTTCCAAATCTGTTTACAAGGTCAACTTGTTGCAAAATGTGGTTTTGAACTTCGTGGTACTGACGCATTGACCTCCACATGTCCTTGAAGCTGCACTCAATTAAATGAAATGTGTATATAAGGATTAAAGTTAAATAATTCGATCTACCA